CATAGTGAAGACCAAACGGCCAGAAGAAATTAGCAACAAGAAACTCTGACTGGGAATGAACCCAAAGCCGATTGCTCAACAAATATGTGGAAGAGAATGGATATGGGCATACGTTGAGGAGACCGTCGAATGACATCGCGCTAGGCCGTCGAGAGGAACCCCGATGGGAAGTGACGAGCAGGTCTTCCAAGGATGACATGGAAGAGGTCTTGCGGGGAGGAGATGAGAGACTATGGGTAGTCTTGGGGCCAGCTGAAGGGGTCTCAGCAAATAGAAGAAAGTGGAGGCGTGCTACTGAAGCTGTTCCACTCGGAACCCAAGGGAATAAGAATGATTATTCATTCATCACTCAAGGGCTGCATGTAAAGTGCTCATTTAGGTGTAAAGCGCCGGTATAAACTGATCAACACCAGAGAACTCCAGAATTACGTGGTATACATTTCTGTGGGCACTGGTGTGATCCTGGTACTTTCAAAGACATGCCCGGGAATTCAACTCAAAAAACGCAATTAACCTGACTGATCGTCATACCGTTGTCTTCCAGTTTCCGGAATACTGCCCGAATGTTATCTTCACTTGTATTTATAACCAGGCTAGCAATGAGTGGATCGTTTATGTACGCCTCAGTAAACTGCTGTTCAGTCAGTAAGTCATCCATAAATCTTTGGAGTGTTTGCGCAGCGTTCCGGAGACCAAGTTGCAACCTCCCAAATATGGTGGTAATGTCTTTTTCAGTTGTATCTTCCTCATCGACCAGAATATTGTGATATGCGCGAACTAAGTCACTTTTATTAAATATTTTGACTGCTAATAATGTCATGGATGTACGGTATTGGGTATCTATCAGGTGAGATTTGTCTTCTTAAATTAAGGGTCTTAATCAGTCTGATTTTTCAGGCACCATGTATAACAGCGAAATCGACTGACTACTCGGGTGCTGAATATTACCCCAAATGAAGCCTATAATCAAATTTGGCTTTCGTTATTTGTAGCTTCTCAGGAACCAATCTTCATATCTTAGCGAACAGTCGGGGGCCGCATGTCCTTATAGTATAAGAAGGTTTCCAGCCTGCCTTAGAAGTTTGGGGCTTGGCTGCCATCAGAGTTGGCATTTTCAGGAACTTTTTGGTTGACTGAACTAGATTCAGTGAATGGTGCTCACTCGATTTGCTACCCGTATACCAGGAGGTTTCTTTCATTGTTGAGTTTTTCTTTTGAGTAGCCACTAACAAGTAATGTCTTTACAGGAGTTTTACGATGACGATTGCTTCGTATAAATCAGCACCAGTTAACACCCATGGAAGCTATCGCTTAAACGTGGCGTTAAAGGTTAGAGTTTTCTGCGTGGATGTACAGGCAACCTGCAGCGTGGCGAAGGATATTTTTCATGCCGGCTATGCTTCCGCTCTTGATATGATACTGAATGCAGCCCCTGTATCAAACAAGAAGACTATTTCAGAATTTTTACCCCTAATGTCCAAACACACCTCAAATATCAACTACTGAGAAGGGGTTAATGGTTATTCAGCTACTTATGGGGTAGTTTAGGTTAGATGCACGGTTTTGTGCGTTTTATTGAATGTGTGCCGAAATTCCAGTGATATTAGCGGAATTGGCCAGCTGGCCGAGATTGTTTGGGTTTAATCTCTAGCAAAGAACGTTCTGTGTTTGGCGATCAACCTCGTCTACCCTGTGTTAGCTGTGTTTGTGTCAGTCGTTACGTCATCGATGTAACGTTGGCCACTAGCTTACAAATTTTATGTCTTTGCTGGTACCGGTCGCTTCGTGTCGCAGACAGCACAAGAACTGTGATGGGGACATACCTACCATGTTTTCCAACTGAAACAACCACTGTATACGCTGGTTTTCCTACATGAGAAGGCGATTCATCACATCACACTTGAACACTGTGTATTGTTGCTCGTTTAAAGGTCTCGCGCCCACTTCTTAATCTCATTGGGTAACTAAGAAAACACGTCCTTATGCGTGGTGGTTTTGGATTTATTGCTATGCTGGTCAAAGTAGTGTTCTAGTTGAGCCAACCATAGATCAGGGCCATGTCAAAACCAACTCACCAGTTTAGAAACTTCCTTTGCTATCAAAATGACTATTCAGATTCCCCACCGGCGACCCTTATTATTACAGAGCTCTACTGTTGTGTGTGGACCTTTATTTTCGCAAGCACGGCAGAGGGCAAGTGAAGGAGGGATTTTTAGTCGGACAATCGGAATGGCATCCATCATCCATCATGACAAGGAAAGACTTGCAAATCATAAATAAGACATAGTTCCTAACTGGCTGCTCGTTCTGTCATTGTTAGCTCCTCAATTATTTACTAAACTTGAGTAGCCATAGCATACTGAGTTGCGGAGGTCCTATAATGTGTCTTTAGTCGTCCTAGTCAATGTTTTCTCCCTCTAAGCTTTGTTGATTCTCTGTTGTTGAGGCGTAAGAATGACGTGACTCAAGCCCGTATCCAGTGTTAGCTCCAAAATGTATTTCCTCCGAAATTGAGGACTGTGGAACACTATGCCGACTTGGATTACTTTTCTTATCTGAGGAGCGGCTAGTCATGGTGGTTTAGTAAAAGCTTTCTTTCCTGCCTGTTGATCATGTATCCTCTGACCGCAAATTTAGTTATGCAGGGATACGAAGTGATAATGGACTACAATCCAGTAACATTCAGAAAGTATTCCTCAATTTTCTCAGAGACTACCATAGTATCTCCCCAACATCATGCTTTCACCACTACGGCGCATTAGCATGACTCACACAAAGGAGAGGGAAAGCCTAACGCGCATGCCTAATGAAAAATATTTTCAGGTACAAGGAATGCTGTATCGTTTTAAAGGCACACTAACTGGACATGTAGCAACCGCCACACTCTCATCTTTTCAAGAACTTACAGTGCGCGGTATTTTTTCATTGAATTCAGGAAGCCCCAAAGATGAATCAGCCGTTGAACACTGGATATCCGAAGATCATCTAAGTTCGCAAACTTTTCGTCTCCAATGAGTTAATGACAAGCCAAGGCACGTGAATACTACTCGACTTTGGCCTCGCGCAGTAGAAATAAACAAGTAATTCATCTTCGATTAAATGTAAGGACCTTCGATGATCCCATAGGTTTCCACGGAGTCTCGGAACTCCATCTTTCTGAAGTATTTCTAGTTTCATTCGCAGTGTCACGAAAATTGGTAACCAAGTACTTCGGAACCTGTTTCCATAAACCAGCTGTGGATTGGCAGTTATGCGAACGGAAGCACTGACGTTTTTGGTGGACCCTGTAGTAACTGGCTTTTCATTTGTTGACCACTAACTGACTTTGCGAATCATAGGCTTGTAAAATAAACCTCTGCATCACTTGATGAGTTTCTGATACTTTTCCTGTAATGTCTCGCTAATTTCTTTTGGATATTCCAAAATGAGAATTATATTGGAGTGACTAACTGTTTCTGTACCTGCAGTAGCAATAACCCCGGGTACGTTAATTTATTTGAGCATTTACATGGATGCAATGAAATATTTTTCAGGAAGTTATTTTTGCTTATCAGTTTGAGAGGCCTGGATAGAGATGATATTACTGCTTTGTTCGCTGCATGTCTACTAACGTTTTGAACATCTTAGTCTCCATATGTCGAATTCATAGTCGCCAGACTCTGTGTCAGGTGTTGCTTTTTAAACAAACCACTAAAAAGTTTGTTCGCTCTAAAGATACGTATTGCGTTCAGTCATGATCTGTTAAATCTTCCATTAACATAGGCCTTAACCACCTATGGAAAGCCCCATTCAGGAGGATGGGTTGGATTTAAGCGATATGTCAGTTGATCTAATTGGCATGAATAAGTGGCAAGTTATTTCCAATACTAGCATAAGCCGAATGGATTAAACATGACTCAAACAAACACGATATTGACATTGCATTGGTTTTCTTACTTCCTGATGCGTGTTTAACATACGACACACTTCGATTACATTGTAAACTCGGTATCTTGATGAAAATTCAGCCGGATACAATCAATCTTTGAATCTTTCTATCACCGCCGTTTTGGTTATGGAAGAGTAGGTGCTTCATCACAACAGGCCGCTCAATATTGGTTCCTACATTAATTACGTGGAACTTACTTTCTGTTTTCCCACCGAACTGTCGCCAAAAATATTATGAATCATATCGTTAGCTACTGTTTATCGTATCAAGATGGAAAGTTGTTCATTGTCTGCCATACCATCATGCAAGGTGCCACTCATAATTTGGAGTTGAGTATCATTCGAAATCGTTTTGTTAACAACGAAAAATTTGGTTAGGTGGATCATAAATTCCAATCTGTACTTGAAGCAGTAAGTTATTACAATGCATATTGTGAAACATCGAAGATGATGCAGAAAATAGGAAAATTTGAACAAACTGAAGGTCTAAAGAGGAAAAAGGGCTGGCGAAAAACGAAGCCAGGTCTGAAATGACCAGAAGCCTACCAAAAATGAGTCTGGTAGATGTGATTTATACGGTAAATGAAAGAGTGCGATCAGATGTTATTTAAGCGTAAGCATCTAAGCATCTTCAGTTTAATTCAAGCTCTGCAAATGAATGTCGGTGATTTTTGACTCAGTATATGTTCTCTGTCTGGTATTACTGAGATTATTAGGTAACCGCACCTTGGCAGCAACAAACAAGATAAAGCACACAGTGTGGAAAGACAAGGCGTTACCAAGTATTTACTGGGCGTAAAACAAACCTTTTCAGTATGAGTCTGATGTCAGTGGATGAATTATCCGTAGAGACATTTAGTTACGTTTAAGTAAGGTCAGAATAGTGGAAGTATTTCTTCACAAATTCTTGGTCTTGTAGTTTCACAGCAATTAAACCCTAAGAAATGAAGGAGCCCTGGCACATACAGTTCGGAAACCTAGAACTGTTAGCTTTTTGTATCCTTCATATGTAAATAACACTAAATACTGTAGTTAGCATTGGACGTGAGTAGAGGCGGTCTCTTAAATGCAATATTTATTGTCCAACAAAGGCGGCTTTTCGGATTTTTCGGACAGAATATGGATTGTAGCCTTTATATGCTGTTTTAATTGTAATTATTACTCATATTTCTTGGGGCTTTGAGGACCGTTTGTTCACAAATACTCTCAATCAATAAATTACGTCAGCTACGCTAGCTGTAACCGGGCTGTAATGTCTTTTGGTACTGATCCTCGTCTTGGCTATTCTGGAATGTGTGAAGACCCGTCTGTTTGTCGTGACTATCTGCGAAATGTTTGTAAACGTGGCAAAAAGTGCAAATATAAGCATCCATCACCTGAAGAATGCGAGAGGCTTCGGTAGGTATTTTAAAAGTTACTGTTCAATAGCATAATAATACCTTTTACAGCTTTCAAACTTTAATCGTATTTCATATTAGCCTGTTTCCATAAAAACAAAATTGTGTATTTAAAGCTTGGTATAATTTTCATAAAGGGACCTATTCTTTTCTGCTTTGATAAGTATGTGGTGGTCAGTTGATTGGCGTAACCGTCATAACTGCCGTCTCTGTTAAGTGAGTCTTATGCGAAATAGCTGAAAATCTCGGGCATACGGAAGGTCCCATAGAAAAACAGACTGTATTCCCTATTCAATAAGGCAAAAACGGAAATCAACCTCCTTCCATCGGCTTCCAGTTGCGAAAAGATGTTATAATGAAAGCCAGTATGCAAGAAATATATTTAGTCAAGTTAGTCATTTAGCTCTCAATTCCCCGATTCATTGATCATGTAGCAGGCTTTAATCTGATGACAATATCCAGCTGCCCAAATTGAAGTGGGTGAAGCGGAACTAGAAACCTAGACACACTTATTAAAAGCTGTACCAGTTAGCTTCGTTTCTAGTTTTAGCGGTAGAATACAGTTGCAGATCTGAAATCAGTTTAGTTCCAACTTGCAACTAGGAGACCTGAGTTTTCACGACTAGCGTAGTTAGTTGAATGCAATTGTAGAGTGGTTTAAACTGGGTGATGATGATTATTCTTGTTCAATCTGTTCATTTCGAAGAAAGGAAAACGATGACTTAGTTCAAGTGTGTAAAGTGTTTAGTGAGCGCAAAGGTAGCGTACATTAATCAAAGGTACTAAGAGTGAATTGAGTTCATTATGAAGTAATTAGTATGCGAGATGAATGAAGTGGTGTCATTAAGAGAGATAATACTTTTGATAATTAAGAACGGTTTGGTAGCGTCAGTGTGTGTGCAGAAATCCACAAGGATGTAAAATTTCGCGGAATGAAGGGTACGTATTTGACTTAGCAAAATTGCAGGAAATAGGAAGGAGGACATGGGTGTAAGAACAGTACTCAGTCTAGGGCAATGTTGATAAATTCTAGTTCTGATTTTCGGAATATTGGACCGCAGTGTGGTCGATCCTATTGCCCCTTAGCTTTATGTATGTATAGACCACGGGATTGTCTTCGGTATGTCACACTAAAGTTTTTTCTAGAGCCTAAATTATGCCTTTTGTCTGAAGTATGCTAAGGCAAAGCTTTTTATAACCTTGCTTTCACGAACCTGTCTAATCGTACATCCTATGTAACATGGTCCACAGAGGTAGTAAATCAGTATATGCTTGAGGATAAGCTTAGATGGAATTCATTTATTTTGGAATTTGCGTCTGCCTTAATAAACTGTCAACTGACGAATTGTCAGCACGGATACAAACGGTTCGTTTGGTACTTGCTAACTTAAGTTATCTGTGGCGTAGACGTGGTAACCGTCTATTAATCAAAGGAATTGTTTGCTCTATCCTTCTTTATGTTTGAGACATGATGGTTTAAGGTGGAGACTAGCTGTCTTTAACCACAGGTATCTGCGTTTTATTACCCGTGTTAAGTGGTATGATATGGTAGGTAGTATTGACGTGTGGTGTTAGGTAACGAGGGAAAGTCGATAAGTTTGTGAAGTTGCTTTGACTGAGTGCACCGAGCCACTGTAACAATAGGGGTTTGTAACGTCATAGAGTCACTCGCCTGACTGATTTACAGATTACACTTTGACATGGTAACCGGGTATGCATGTCACTGTTACCCAGTGAGCTCTTTCAGTTGCAATCAATGTTCCTCCAGGTCTTATCACACGAGAAAGTTTTAGTGCAAGCTGGTTAGACTAATACCAGTTACCATCGGTGTATGCTGCTTACCCTATGTTAATCCTTAGCGGCAAGTAGTTTTCAAAAGAAAAGAAATTGCACAGAAAGCATCTTCAAGTATGCTATGTATTATCAGTCCTAAGGTGTTGTCCCATATACTTTCAAACCTTCGGTACTTCGAAGGTTTTTACCCTTGATAACTGTTTCGCAGTCGTAAATTAAGGTAGTACACATCGTTACTCAGAAAATTTTATTTATAATTATCCGTAAGATAATCTACTAATAACGAACATGCAATATTTTGAAATGATTATGATTGGCATTTGCCATTTAAAAGTGCTTCATTTTCTAGAACAGTATTGCAATGTAACACTAGCTTAGAAGGTCTTGTTAGTTAATTATTGATTGTGTTTATTGGGTCACAGTTTGATCTCACTATAAATTGTGCTATTCTACAGGTCATATATATATATATATATATATTGATTCGCTTGATACAATCTTTTGATTGGTTGGTGAATAATTATCACTGAGGCTTTTTTTCATTTTACAGTCGTTTCGACAAGACGTTTTGTCATGACTTTCAAAATTCAACTTGTCGCCGTTTGAATTGCAAATTTTTGCATTACACAAAGGAAGAAGAGGAGGTGTTCCGGCGTACTGGTTATCTACCCAATGATGCACAGTGGTCTCATCGCTCAGCCTCAAATAGTTATGATGAAAAAACACCAATCTGCAAGGTATATGTTTGAGAAAACAAAACTGTTGTACATCCCTTGATTTCCAGGCTGATTTAACTTTTGAATTTGATGTTTAACTGTGTTTCTAGCAGGTATATGGAAGGCAGTAAGGTTTATGTTTATCATGAATAAGCGAAATCAATTTCGAGTGCATCGTGATGGGGAGTCACTTAGCACAGTAACCACATTACAAACTTGCCTGATAGAATTCAGTCTGCATTAAACAAAGGACTAGGCGCATTGCACCAGTTATTGTCCAGTGTATCCTCAGAGATATATATCTTGTGCCTAAATTTATGAAAAGCTGATTCGAAATGAGACACCCTCCACCCCTTATCGTCATATTTGTTAGCACCAAAGCAATCTGGCCATATATATGTATACATATATAACATTAAAGAAGTTACCCCTACTAAGTTGTCTAGTTCCTAGTGGTATCTGAATTCTACGATTCAAGTTTGTTGTATGGTGGTCATCAGACTTAGCGACAAGCCATCGTTGTACAGTATTAATTGATGTTAGATAGTTTGGTGCATGTGACAGGACAGCTGCAACTAAGTTCCATTCTTATTGACACCTATCAGCAGGGCGTAACATCTGTAACATTGAGTGGACTGATTTCCCTTTAGAAAAATAAACTTTTTTGAAATTACATTCTATCACAGTGCCCAAGCTCCATGATTGTTGCAAGCTTGTTGTCACCTATTACTACAATTCGTATAACTCAGTGGGAATGAATAAATACACTGGGTTGATAAATAGCTGTAAGAATTGGGTGAGACTCAGGCCTAGAGCTTCCTGTCAGTCTCCTTCAACCATAAGAAATCTATATGTATGCTATTATGATGCTATGATTAGACCTTCCTGATTAATTAATGTGTGTTTTAGACGGACATTTGTGTTCTGTAGAGTCGCCGAGGAGGTCTGTGATTCTCCTTCATATGATGTTGTTGACATTGAATAGGTTACAATTTATCCTTTTTGTTCTGTTTAACTTAAAATATTGCGAATATAATCGGAAAATGACTTTGCAGATACATTTGATATTTAGCTGTATTCGCTATGATCAGTGTATTAACAGCAGTGCATTTTCATGATGAGTTTCGAATCAAGTTTTGTATCCTCTTTCTGTCATTCTTTCGTTGCGTATTACTTATTATTCCACTATCGCCTTTATACATCGTGATCATTAATCAATATATAAATCAGAACGTGATGATTTTTATCATTAAAAACAAACTATTTGTACTTTCCGAAGTTTATTCCATTTGCGGTGTGGCGATTCAATGATTAACTGTAAATAACGGACAGGCTGCCCGACACAGCATTGTCCTCTCTACATGTGCTTTGTTTTATTGCCCCAATTGTCCGTAAATGTCATTGTTTTTGTTTCTGATGTAGTGTTCCAGTGTTTTATTACTGTACTCGATGTGGATTATAATAGCCTGAAACACTGTCTTACCTGTGATTTTATTTATATAAGTCCACTTAGTTAGTTGATTGTATTTATGAAGTGGTTTGAACTGATTCGGCTTTCTGAGTGTAAAATACTTGCCCAGGGTTTAAATTACCTCCATCAGATACGTTAGTACTATAAAAGCGTTGGTGTGAATAATGACCAACCAACCAATCACATAAATCAATAGTATGTGTTGTATTACTTTCTTTATCCCTATCGTTAGTTTCATCAAGTAAAATTTATTCCCTCGATCAGTTACGATGAAGTTATAAAGAGTGTATTCATTGTAAAAGAAAAGAGGCTTCCCGTCTTCTGTCAAACTTGTCGATATGTTGATTTCTTTAGAGTTATGTATACAATTAATCCCCGAGTGTTTTTGTTGGTTTAACCATTTTCTTTCCTTGTCCTCATAATCTGTTCATATAGGATTTCGCCAATGGAGCCTGTAATCGAGGAGCTAATTGTAAATATCGCCATGTCACCACACAGCAGACACAAGAAGTAGTAAATCCTACTCTCTATAATCAGTCAAATTTACAGGAAGCTAGCTATGTCAGTGAAAACACACCAGCTGCACATATTGATCCTTCTCTGTTCAGCAATTCAACTCATTTCAGCCAACCGTCTCTGATAAATAATGCAGTCATTGTATCGCCTACAAATTCAGTCTTAAATCCTGTAAGCAATGCATATATTCCTGGTGTTTCTTCACATTCACTTATGGGTCTTATTAGTAATACGTCTACAGGACAACCTACTCTGTATGCTCATTCATCGCTGGTCTCAATTACCAGTGCTCCTCATATTAGTCCTTGTTCTTCTGTCATCACAGTTGCTGCTAGTCCCACACAACATCCGAATGTAATTCATCCTCAGACAGCATTGTCTGCGCCTCATGCAACCTATCACATTGTTCCACACGATACTACTTCACATCACCATCTACTTGCAACAAGTTCAAGTCATTCATAAGCTCCTACGCTGTTAACCATTCCTCTATCTCAGTTTACTTGTAATGTGAGCAATAATAGTTTAATCCAATCTCAGGCGGCTATAGCTTGTTCTACACAACATCATGCTGTTGTAACTGGTGTGTTACCAGCCCATCCGTCAATATCATCTGCATCTGCAACCTATTATCCATCTTATGGTGTATTTCATATTAATCAACCCCCTGTAGAGAATTGTGATCAACAACAGGTTACAGCGGTTGAGATGCAAAAACAAATTCACGAAACTAGACCTTCAAGATGTCCAACATCAACAGCAACAGAAACCACTAGAATGACACCAGTTTCTGCTACAACGACGAAGACGGCGACAACCTCAGTTACATCGGTGTCTTCGTCAACAACAGCTGTATTGGCTGCTGCAGCAGCTGCTGGTTATATTGCACAACATTTACCTGTTATTGGTTCCAATAGTCTATCTACTGGAAGTAATGTATCTCAAGAGCACAGTAATTATATGAATAGTAAAACTGGTAATCCATCGAAAGGTGTAAGTGTACATGAATCGGCTATAGCAGCTGCAGCAAATCTACCAACAGTGTCGGCTGCGGCTGCAGCCGCCGTAGCAGCAGCTGCTGCATTCGCTTGTTCCACTTCGATGTCACAAAATTCGAAGGTGAGTTTTAAACTAAGTGTCTGTATGGAATTAAATTGTCTCATTCTTCTTCCACCCGAAGTTTTGTTTACGCCTAGTGTATATCTTTGTTGTGAAGTTTAGTCGTGAGTGAACGGAGTACTGACAAAGTATGTTACACTAAACCAAGACAATCTCTTCGATCTCATACAGAGCCAGGTTAGAGCCTATGGAGAGTTGTTATCTGATGTGATGATGACAACCAGTGGTTTCCAGCCACTGTACCACAAGGAACATATGAAAATGATGATAGTGAATTAGTTTTTAAATAAAAAGCAAACTAAAAGTAAAACAAAAAATGAAAAGAAGAAAAAATCAAAATTTTGTTACAGGGAAAAGGTTAAGACGAATATAGAATGAGAGTGGACAAACGTTTTCTGTACACAGAGTTCAGGGTTGTATTGACGAGTTTCCAGCGCCTCCGCCATACACAAAAGCCGAAACCTGACTCCCTTTGTACCACTTGGCCTCACCTTGTCGATGATCGTGAAAGACGACTCTGGTGGATCTACGTGGCCTGAGTTAACCAAATGCTCGAGAATTGAGCTAGTAATTGTCTTGCATTGTCCCTTTGCTAACCATGCCGGATAATGTTCAGAGATGCGTTTGGAAAGTGTGCGCTTTTTGTGTGCGGCCAATATAACTAACTCCACACGAGCAGGCGAATTTATAAACACACATTGAGGTGGCTCAAAGCGGCAGTTTATCCTTCACACATCCATTGATCATTTGTCGGCTGTAGAAATTGATACGTAGCTCAGCCATATAAAAGGTTTTTCCCAGTGATCTGCATAAGCGATTCTTCAGGATTTCAGCTGCGGTATCACCTTTAAATTCAACACTCATTAATAGCAGTTTCTTCGGCACCGTCTGGGTTCTTTCAGACTTTTCCCCTAACTTCGTGTTTTTCTCGATAAATCTTGGAGGATATCCATTCTGTATGAGGACTTGTCTGAGTCGCCCCAGTTCCCCCTTGATTGTGCCACTGGAACGTATCCTCCTTATTCTTGAGGATAAGGAGTGGATCAGGTTTCTCTTTCTTCTCAAAGGGAAATTTGTGTACTGACCATTCCATGTTGGTTTCCTGTAGATCGATCTTTGAAGAGAACCATCAGATCTCCCTTTTTGGAAGAACATCCAAAAAATGGATATCCGAGTCCATCTCTGATTTCGACGTAAAATTGGATGGTATGATGGCAGCTGTTGAACTCTTTAGTTATCAATTCGATGCTGGTATTGTCGTCACATATGATGGAAGTATCATCCATGTATGTTTGGTACAAATGGAAACCATCTATAGTGAGCCGTAAAATATTATCCTCCAGGCTTGCCAAGAAGCAGTCTGCAAGTATAAAGGACCCACAGAAATAAATTCGAGGGAAGAAGAGGCAGATCAATTGACGAGTTAATTAATCTGTATTAACCGAAGTGGTCAGGTTATCGGTGAACAGGCAGGACGAATATGGAACACAGCTTAAGTATTGTTTAAGCCAAGTGAGGAGTGGGGAGATGTAGGTTATCTGACTTGAAAATGTTAAAATGTTTTGGCGCTTCTGTACACCATAATAGGTGTTTAAAAAAATGGTCATTCAAAGAAATAACTTCTGAAATTTGTGAGCTTGAAGTTTGTTATTTCTATCAGAATATACTTATTGCTTTTACTTTTTGACTAATTTAATGTGTTTGTCAATATCTTATGCCAGTTTTACATTTCCACATATGATCATAGTTGATTTCAAGTGTACACTGCTGTTTTATACAACATTATTATTTGCTAGAGTTTACATTTTTGTATTATTCAGTAATCTTTAAGTTTTAAAACACTGAGGTCTTCAGCGGCAGCAAAAGTCTGAACCTCCAAGTTCCGTATGTCAAGACACTGCCGTTAGATGCGTTTTCCGCTTGCAAGATTTTAAAGTAGTGGTGAAGATTTATAGCTCAGCTGGATGGTGGTTTAAGTGCAAAGCTTTCATTGGGCATTTTTGGGCATCATCTTCAACGCTAACGACAAAATGAAGTGAACCTGCTGTAATTAATTACCTCAGAGAATCAGATAACTTTTTTTTTCCTGATGACTTTGATTGGTTATCACTGGAGATTATCTGATCACTGTATTCACCTAAATTGTGATACAGATAGTCTCATTGCTCCAATCCATGACCATTTCGTTCGTGTGATTGATTGATTGACTGATTGATAAATTGTGTCTCAATCTGCGTATGTCTGCCATTTATAAACTGATCTGAATGTCAGGATCCTAGCTAGAAGTTCTCTGGTATTCTTCATATTTCCTGTGTCTAGGATTCTTTACATTTTTCTTGTTGTATTGATACCTCTAGATGTCCACGTGACAACTGATATGAAGGAGTGCATTTCATTAAGTTTTGATGGATGGTTTGTATTCGTGGATATGTGAAGATGAGAGAGAGAGATGTCCACTTTGTTCACAGTCAACTAGTATTCAAAAGTCATGGTATATTCCACTCGACTCCCATTAGTCTTCCAACGTGTAAGGTCTTGGTGACCAGTCAATTGTACATCGTGACTTTAATAGACAACATCCATGTGTGCTGGAGTTGGTTTTCATATCCCCTGTATTCGAATCAGTTGAATAATTCAACCGGGTCTCCTTGCATTACATGTATCGTTAATTTTAGCCCTACTAATCTTAACATTATTGGTGATGAATGAAACGTTGAATTTAGGTATTTCCCGTTGTTTCACACTCACATAGACTAGAAACTGGAGGTAATCAAGAATGGGTTAGCCAAGAAACTCATTGATTAAGTTTTCTATAGTTTGGTTTGTAAGGGTTAGTTTTGTTTTTACGAGTTGATCACGGATTGGTATAAGTTATAGAAGCATTGAAAACCAGCAATGGAGTACTGGAAAGCCAGCTGTTTCATCCTAGTTTGGGAATCATCGGCAGTACGCACCCACCCACTGCCAGGGTTCGAACCCAAGACCTTCCGGTTACAAGGCCAGCTAGCTCGTATACCACTCAATCACTGGGAAGCGATTCAATGGCCAGTGCATGAATTCTAACTTCTACCGATTCATGATTTAGCGCGACCCCAACCAGTGTCGTCGGTGGGACATCCATCCTCGCACGTGACATCTAATTGGACGTCACTGGTCACCACTTGTCACTAGAACTCCAGGAAACTCCTTCCATCCTGTAGCAAGTCACTAGCGAGCATCAGATTAATTTTCTATAGTTTGGTTTGTAAGGGTTAGTTATGTTTTGAAAATTCAAATAGTGTCTTATTAATCCTTACTCATTAATCTAAGCTGGTATTGTTATGTCCTAGTGCATTGTTTTGTCGAACTTAGCAGAAGTCAAAATACAAAAGTCTAGAAGCGCTATCCTTTGTTGCCAGCTGTTGTTTATTTCTGTTTGCCTCCAAGTAACGATCGCCACAGAAGTCATGTTGTTGTTGTAATATTGAAAAGCCACATTATATACTATGCATTCTTTCATGAATTATTTTTCTCCACTATCTTCTTCATAAGTATCCTATTTCATTCTGAACTTCTTTTCTAATACAGAGTACACTTCGTTTACTTTATATACTTTTCCATCTTTCAGTTTTGTTGATTTGATTTGATTTTTTTTTAAATTGTAGTATCATTCTATGCTTCCAAGTAATCAAACAAAGTTCAATGATTTGGATATGGAGTCTAGTTCATCAATTCCTTCGCCTCGTATTATTACCAGCAATAATAATAATAATCATAATCATAATAATAATAATAACAGTAATAGTAATAACAACAATAATCATTCTAATCACACCAATAGTAGTAACAACAACATGACCTTGATGAGTAATACAGAGTCATGTTCTTGTCAAAACTCACCACACAAACTAGACATTCATAGTATTCATAACAATAATAATGATTGTAACACGAAAATAAACACAATGACTGCATGTTTTCAAAATCATCCACACTGTTCAGGCAGAGAATCATTATATCCGCACGATAATAATCCCAATAATGGCGGTAATAATAACAATCACAATAATAATAATAGTAGTAGTACCACTGGTAACTCTATTAAATCAATATCTTCAATAGATTGTATATCTAATTCTATGCCTTCCTCATCGGAATACTTGAATCCAGCTGATGAAGAGCAAGCGAAAACAGCAGCTGCTGTCGCTGCCGCAGCATGTATTGGTAAGCGGATGATGATGAATGTGACGATATTTGTTGTTTATTGATTGACTAATAGTAACCAATCGATAACTGTTTTTCCTGTGTACTATATTAGTGAGCTACATTGTGCGTTTGGGTTTCTTTATAGTGATGACTCTTGGTTGCCCAAGCATAATCCGATTAAGTGGGGTCAACAGCACTTAGCATCAAAAATAAGATCTGGATTTTCAACTCCAATGTGAAGTCAGTCAGTGCTACTACACGGACCAGAGACTTCGCCAGAGCGTCATAAAGAGCATCTCAAACAAACTAAAGACCTTCATTAACAGTTGTCTTCGCTCAATACCAATCAAGATCAGATGGCCGGCAGAAAAGATCAGCAACAGAGATCTCTGGGAGCGAACCAACCCAGTAGGAACCGATTGTGAAACAAATATGCAGAAGGAAATGGAGATGGATTGGCTGGCCATACTCTGGGGTAACCATCAAGTGACATCACTAGACAAGCCATCGCTCGAGTGGAACCCGAAAGGGAAGTGGCGAGTTGATCGTCAGTGCGAAGGTGAGGTGACTTGGAGGAGGTCATGTGAAGAGGAGATGAAAACGTGTGGGCAGACATAGAGCCAGGTGAAGACTCTAGCAGAGAACCGAACTCAATGGAGACGCACGGTTGAAGCCCTATGTTCCTCTAGGAATTAAAGGAAACAATAATAATAATATAGATCCATTGAAGAGAAAAATACCCAAGACAATGGCTTAATGTTAAATGATGGTCGGACTAATACTTAGAGAGATTGAGACCAAAGTGACCTGGACTGTTGTACGCTGTTCTGGTTTTCTGTTTGCAATTTTGAACTCTACCGTTCTCTTATCTGTTATCTGTAGAGAGACTACCCACACTCACTCTCACCGTTATTAATGGAAAAATTAGTGCCTGTAGAGGGTTGTGACAGTACTACATCAGTAGTTCTGGGGACCGATGTCACTTGTTTTCACAAAGTGAAAATCATCTTTTAATACGTGCTTATGTGCTTGCAAATAGCTGGAGATTAGTTATTGAACTGTTTGGTCCCATTGATAAATTTCGATAGAGAGAAAGAAAGACCAGATTTGCAGTATGAAATGTGATGTCATCAGTCTATTTCACAGGTTCTCATCAGCTACAAGTTATCTGAGATTAGAATGGTTATAAATAATAACATTTCAAAACTTCAATGTTTGAAAGGTGATAGTGAAAACATTATAAGATGAATGCATCTGGAATATAAGTATTACAATACTTTTTAGATGAATTTACCTCGCCCTATAAGCTATAAGCAGGGACTTGTAAGGACACTGCACGACAGGGCCAGGAAGTTATGTTCTCCCAACAAGGTAGACGAATAATTAATTGTTGAAAAATGCCTTAAGGAAAACGGGTATCCAAAAGGATTTATCCTGAAGTACCACAAAGAAAGGGATGAGAAAGCGAAGTATCCAACAGTTGTAAAGAAGAAAGTGTTCATTTACCTCACATATAATGGAGAAACAGTATCGCAAAATATTGAAAAGAGGATGAAAGGAGCAATAAAGAGGTGCCTCTCTGCAGCTAATCTGGTGACACTGTACTGCACTAAATGCTATAGAAGCCAGTCGAAACTGGATAAGTAACCTGCTGATATTACCTCCAATTCCTTTACCTCACTAAGCCAGTAATAGAACTAGTAGAGAGGGAAGGTTGGTCATGAGGCTAGAAACCCCATCCTGTAAAATTTAACACTGCTACAGAAACTTCAGGCCTCTAGCTTGAAGCCATATGTTCCACCGGGAATGTGAAGGAAGGGCATTTATAAATTTACGTGCACCTGCGGTAGCAAGTACATTGGAAGGACAGAAAGAAGGGCGTCTATCCGGTTTTCAGAGCATATTCCGAGAAACGTATGCTTAAAAAGTAAGCTCAGCTGAGCTGAGCTCACTAGTGTGTATGACTAATCAGTGTAATGAAAGTGATACGGTTACCAAGGAAGTGAGGGAGACTGACTACACTCTCTCTTTCTGTGTGCATAAGTTTGGTCTGAGACTTTTGATTGCAGGTGCTTCAGCAGTAAATCGTAGTAGAATCGTTGTCCTTTTTATGTTTAATATTTTGAAGGGTTTGGAAATCTCTACAAAATGACTCGTATCCACAGGGTGGGTGTTTGGTAATTGCACTTTGTAAATATCTGTTTCCTTTTAAGCATAAGTTTCTCGGGATATACTCTGAAAACCGGATAGAAGTCCTGCCTTCTTTCTGTCCTTCTAATGTACTTGCTGCCGCAGGTGAGATTTATCTCATGGTCAGAGTGTAGCCTACATTAGATTAGTTTTGTTGGTCGCCGGATAGTCCTGTCTATTTGGCACTACTCAACTCATCCAAAATGAAATTTCTATATTCGGTCTGAGTGTTGCTTGGCTAAGAATTCGCATGTCAAACTGTGACAGTAAGTCAGTCAGTCATGCAGCTTTCACGAATGTGTCTTGCTTTGCTCGAAGTTGCACATTACCATTGGTGGTTGGTTTTACTTTTATTAGGCTAAGTTGCTGTAGGTTGTCGATAATGGACTTTATGCTTTCTTTTTTCTGGAGTGTCCTTCTTTCCCTCTTATTCAGCGTTTTTCGCCTTGAATTCCCCTGTTGTGTGAGCTGGATGATATTTTCGAGAAGAAACTTTTTGGTGAATCGAATATGTGTTAGGGAAGACCATCCCAATCACAGGTCTAAATCATGCCTGCCTTATAGCAGTGTGTATAAATCTTAAAACCCCGTCTACATTGTAAATAACTACTTAATGTGGTGTAAGTGACTACTTCCTTCCTTCCCGCAGATCATGTACCTCATCAATTAAACCATTCAGTGTTTCGATGTAGTGAAAATGCATAAAAAAAATCAATCATTCAAGGTTAATTAATGATTAGGCTATACCATTCTGAAATGTACCCTTTGAATTTGAAGGAATCTGGTGTCATGCTTAAAAATGATAAACTTCAGTATTCCATTTTTCATTTAAGCTTCACTGAATGTAGAGAAGACGGATGTGATGACGGTGTTCAATCAACACCACCACTAACAACAATGACAACAAACATCAGTCACCATCAATAGGAGAAATCTACAGGGAGTCACCTCTTTCATCACTTACCTAAACAGAGTCGTTTCAGTTACATGTGACACAGATGAGGATGTCGAAGTTAACCAGGATCGTAAAAGGGGGACACACCTTAATTACTCCGGAATAAGTGTGGAAATCTACTGTACTCAACGCTTATGCCAAGTCAGCCAGTGCTTCCATATGGTTCAGAGGCCTGGCGAACATGCCACAGAAAGCATTTCCAACAGACTGCTGTAGACTTTTATCAACAGTTTCATTCACTAACCCACATGATGGTGAAGATCGGATGACGAGAAAGGATAAGCCAACGTCAAGGGAATTTGGTAAGCAATTTGGTGGGTAGGTAGGTTCGTCGAGTTTCCGAACATCACCCTGCATGGTGGTTAAGCAAAGGACAAAGAAAATCTATTCACATAGCGCTATTCTATCTCACTCACCTTGTGGATACAGAACACAAGATTGACGTTAATCATGCTTCCAGGGTCATTTACCACATACCAACAAACCTCAATTTTGACTTAAGAGTTCGACTACTCTATATATTGCTGAGGCTGGCTGCTGGGATCCATATTAGGAAGCCTAATTTGTGCATCCGAAAGAAGTTAGTTCAGACATTGTCCTTACCCGCTTGGCTATCTAGGTTTGAATGAACCCTTAATTTCTGTGGAATTTTACTAATTTTAGTTGATATTCTATTTACTATTATATCTTTATTATTATTATTATAACTATTATTATTATTATAATTTATGCATCTTTAATGAACTGTAATTCCATTGATCTTACTTTGCAAATCGATATTATTCAAAAAAGCATCAATATTGTTATTGACTACTATTCTAGAATATTCTGTGTATATAAACATGCATATATAATTGTAGAGCCGGAAGAGGGAATTATCTATCGAAAAGGATATTCTTCGCTCAATTATTTTGTGTTTTATAAATATAAAGAAGGAAATGGAAGTTGGATTGGACACACACTGAATGGACCGTTAAGTAACATCACGCTCCAGACCCCATCCCCCGGATGGAATACGATGAGTTGGCTATGGGTCTGAGGGTAGCGTGAAGAGGAGATCATTTGACCAGGGGTAACAACTTATCAACAGTCTTCTGAAACCAGCTAGAGACGACTTCAGAAAAATGTGTGGAATGCCAGTGTGCTTTTGTGGTCCACTTTTGTCCCACTCGGAACCCAATGGGAATAATAATAGTAATAATTATATAATGATCTTTTCCTTTATACTTTACATCTAAATTCTCTTTGAATTAGGCATAATCGGTTCCATTGCGTGATTCCCAAATTGAAGGTTTGTCACCAATTTCTGTCTTGTTTCAAATAATCTTTTCTTTATAAATATATATATATATATCCAAGGTATTTGTAAACACTTCTGTATTGTATTCAATTTTCACGCGTATTGTAGGCGCTATTTTCTCTCAACCAATGGCTGCTGCAGCAGCAGTTGCAGCTAGTGGTGCAGCAGGTGTTGGCAACTCAGCTCCATCATCAGTTGCTGCAATGCTTGGAAATTTAATTGGTTGTAATGAGAAAGATATTATGCATGCTGTTCAATCGTCATCGACGTTATCATCGGCGTCGGCGTCATCAGCAGCGGCCTCATCTTCGTATGCCGGAGCATCGTTATTATCCAACTCATCTAGACATAATAACTGTTCTGTTAGCAATAAATGTGATTCTGATGCTACTACAGTTATCAACCGTTGCCCACAGCAGCAACAACAACAACAGGTTTCTAAAGTTGATGAGAAAAGTTCCAAAGATGATCATCAAAACGAACATGGCGGTACTGGTGGTGGTGGTGTAGGCGTTAGTAATAATAATAATAATAATAATTCGATGGATCAAAATAATCTTCAGTCGAATACTGTCAACATTTCTTCATCGTTGTAAGTGTTCAAATACCTTATTGGATCATAATAATCCACATTCTCTTCAAGATACAATTACCTCAGATTCAAGCAATTGGTCCAGGTAATGTTTCTCTCTTGGTTATGATGAAAATGTTAATGGATTTTATTTTATTTGAGTTGTGGATGTGATTTTTGTTGTTGTTGTTGTTGAAATTTCATGCCTTGAATTCAGAGTGCAACACAGGAGACTCCAAATTTGAGGTTTGAAGTTTTAATATCAGTGGTGTTTTTTTTTTGTTTTTTAACGGAACGGAGTTGCTAACTCCACGCCTGTAACGACAGAAGACAAGAGTCAGGTCAGACAGATCGTTTATTGAGAAAATCAAGAGATATTTATAGATTTTTACGTACATCATTGTCAGCGGAGAAGCAACGTTTTCTGGTTGCTTGTTTTCTCGCTGAAGGTTATTCTGTCATTGCTCTGTGGTTGTTTCTTAGAAAGTCAGGCCATATATCTGCGAATCGTATTTGCACATGTTAAATCTGCTGTGATTGGTTGTTGACTTCCTCAAGGTTATTGTTTTTTCTCATGACTCTGATTCCGGACGTAACACTGACGCAAATTGTTGCTTACAATTTTGGCTTGTTCTCTGCCAGCTCTCACCACACGCCCAAACCTTCCTTTTCTGAGCTCGCTACTGGAAAGTTGAGATGTAGGAGTGCGTTGGTTGGGGGGGGGATCGAACCCCAGATTGCGTGTGTGGTTGGTGTGAAGCGACGTCGATCGAGATGCCTAGGACATGTGTTACGTGTATGCCTCTAACCATTGCCTTCTTCGACTGGCCATTTTAGTTGATATAGAATCAGGTTGGAAAATAGCTAGTGGTGGTCATACGAAAACGTGACTTCATCAGTCAATGATATCCATAATAGGTTAGGTTGAGAGGTGTAGGAAGATGGAGACTTCCTGACTGACTGGTTGCGGTCCCCGCGATGCTATAAACCAATGAAGGCTGGAGGCTATTGGTGATTTTGGTGGCTATTTTTCTCTTTTTTTGTTACTGTTTTTTCTCTCTCTCAAATTTCTGCTAATTTTCATTTTTTAAAATCTCTTTTGTCCTCTTTTGTGTGCTTCATGGAGTGTGGCAACTTGATATACTGCAGCAATTCTGTGCAGATTTGACAAGCTTCCTACTATGAAGCTTATCAATAAAATCACACGACTTTCTCAAACAGAAGCAAGATTCACAAACCATCGGATTTTTAACAGTCGATGTTTGAAAAATCATATAACTCCAAAATATTTACACATACGCACTCCAATTAATTCAAGAAAAATATCGTCAGCAGCTGAACATTTCAGTAGATTATGTTTAAGAGAAGAACTACATCGAATTACTGTGAAACTCAATAATATACGAAATGAAATCGAAAAACTCAAACAGAAACTCAAATGTATGGTCAATGACAAAGATTATGTAATTGTTGTTGAAACATCCGAAAAAGCTAGAGAATCAGCATTAAGAAAATCAAAAGCCACACAAATCAAAAAATTCAACAAACTAATTGAAGAAAAGAACACAACAAATAAAATTGATGTCAACGCTTCATCCTCTATCGACTGAACAAAGTGGGTGATCAACCTCTCATCAAAGGAACTAAGCTCTAGTGAGATAAAAGTACTTGAGAAAGGACTGAATTTCAATATAACAGTTAACAAATTAAAACCAGAGGATGTCATTCCTAACATAGAAGGCATACACGTAACACATGTCCTAGGCATCTCGATCGACGTCGCTTCACACCAACCACACACGCAATCTGGGGTTCGATCCCCCCCCCAACCAACGCACTCCTACATCTCAACTTTCCAGTAGCGAGCTCAGAAAAGGAAGGTTTGGGCGTGTGGTGAGAGCTGGCAGAGAACAAGCCAAAATTGTAAGCAACAATTTGCGTCAGTGTTACGTCCGGAATCAGAGTCATGAGAAAAAACAATAACCTTGAGGAAGTCAACAACCAATCACAGCAGATTTAACATGTGCAAATACGATTCGCAGATATATGGCCTGACTTTCTAAGAAACAACCACAGAGCAATGACAGAATAACCTTCAGCGAGAAAACAAGCAACCAGAAAACGTTGCTTCTCCGCTGACAATGATGTACGTAAAAATCTATAAATATCTGTTGATTTTCTCAATAAACGATCTGTCTGACCTGACTCTTGTCTTCTGTCGTTACAGGCGTGGAGTTAGCAACTCCGTTCCGTTAAAAAACAAAAAAAAAACACCACTGATATTAAAACTTCAAACCTCAAATTTGGAGTCTCCTGTGTTGCACTCTGAATTCAAGGCATGAAATTTCAACAACAAAAATCACATCCACAACTCAAATAAAATAAAATCCATTAACATTTTCATCATAACCAAGAGAGAAACATTACCTGGACCAATTGCTTGAATCTGAGGTAATTGTATCTTGAAGAGAATGTGGATTATTATGATCCAATAAGGTATTTGAACACTTACAACGATGAAGAAATGTTGACAGTATTCGACTGAAGATTATTTTGATCCATCGAATTATTATTATTATTATTATTACTAACGCCTACACCACCACCACCAGTACCGCCATGTTCGTTTTGATGATCATCGTTTGAACTTTTCTCATCAACTTTAGAAATCTGTTGTTGTTGCTGTTGCTGTGGGCAACGGTTGATAACTGCAGTAGTAGCATCAGAATCACATTTATTGCTAACAGAACAGTTATTATGTCTAGATGAGTTGGATAATAACGATGCTCCGGCATACGAAGATGAGGCCGCTGCTGATGACGCCGACGCCGATGATAACGTCGATGACGATTGAACAGCATGCATAATATCTTTTTCATTACAACCAATTAAATTTCCAAGCATTGCAGCAACTGATGATGGAGCTGAGTTGCCAACACCTGCCGCACCACTAGCTGCAACTGCTGCTGCAGCTGCCATTGGTTGAGAGAAAATAGCGCCTACAATACGCGTGAAAATTGAATACAATACAGAAGTGTTTACAAATACCTTGGATATATATATATATATTTATAAAGAAAAGATTATTTGAAACAAGACAGAAATTGGTAACAAACCTTCAATTTGGGAATCACGCAATGGAACCGATTATGCCTAATTCAAAGAGAATTTAGATGTAAAGTATAAAGGAAAAGATCATTATATTATTATTACTATTATTATTCCCATTGGGTTCCGAGTGGGACAAAAGTGGACCACAAAAGCACACTGGCATTCCACACATTTTTCTGAAGTCGTCTCTAGCTGGTTTCAGAAGACTGTTGATAAGTTGTTACCCCTGGTCAAATGATCTCCTCTTCACGCTACCCTCAGACCCATGGCCAACTCATCGTATTCCATCCGGGGGATGGGGTCTGGAGCGTGATGTTACTTAACGGTCCATTCAGTGTGTGTCCAATCCAACTTCCATTTCCTTCTTTATATTTATAAAACACAAAATAATTGAGCGGAGAATATCCTTTTCGATAGATAATTCCCTCTTCCGGCTCTACAATTATATATACAAATGTTTATATACACAGAATATTCTAGAATAGTAGTCAATAACAATATTGATGCTTTTTTGAATAATATCGATTTGCAAAGTAAGATCAATGGAATTACAGTTCATTAAAGTTGCATAAATTTTAATAGTAATAATGATAATAATAATAATAATAAAGATATAATAGTAAATAGAATATCAACTAAAATTAGGAAAATTCCACAGAAATTGAGGGTTCATTCAAACCTAGATAGCCAAGCGGGTAAGGACAATGTCTGAACTAACTTCTTTCGGATGCACAAGGTGTTCAGAAGACTCTGCCTTTTGTTAGGGTCTTCACATAGGAGAGAGGACTATATCACCTGCATAGCTTCCTGTCGGACATCAGTGAGTGGTCCAAACTGAATGGTCTCATGCTGAATCCCTCAAAATGCCAGACTATTGACTTCTCCCTTACGCATAAACGAGATCTACAAACACTAGTAAGTTCTCATGAAGACTGTTGCATTGAGGGGACTAAAATTGAAACTAAGCCTAATGCTAAATACCTCGGTCTAGTTCTATCTTCCGAGCTTACTTGAACATCTCATATCCTAATGATTTCTAAGAAAGAAAGGCAGTGCTATCGCCAGGCATCTTCTTGACACGGGTCATGAGGTAGACGTGAAAAAGTCATTCAAAATTATCAATAAGCAAAAGAGTTCAATGCTCCTTAAGTTTGCCGAAGCCTTTTCCATCAAGCGCCTAAAACCTGATTTGTGTGTTCAGAAAGAAGCAGTTATCAGTCTTTCTTTGCCCTGGTAACTCGATATTTTTCATCCTAATGCGAGATACTGAAAAGTTTTCATTTTGTATGATTATTAATGCTCGGAATTGTGTTCAAGATTGCATATATATACATATATATATATATTATTAGTGTATGTGTTTATCGATCGATTGATTTCTGTTTAAAATGAACTCTGTGTAAGTATGATAAATTGTTATTGTAGATACATTTAATAATGTTTTTGCCCTGTAAGCAGCTGAAGAGAAGGCTACGAAATAAAATATGGTACCATTTTATTCTGCAAAATCTGTAGTTGTTGCTTTGTTTAAATTCATTAAGGGGAACAAATGTATGAAAGTGTTCTGTCTTACCTACTACATTAAGAAACTTAGACAATCAGGAATCACCCAACCTCTACCTTCACAATTTGTCAACTCTTGTATCTTACCTATTCTACTTTACTGCTCCCAGCTAGTCTTTACTCGGCTACTGAGAAAGGACTATACCATCCTGAGAAGGATGTTGAAGGTAGTCAGTAGGACTAGTGGTGTAAATCAGTCAGCTCGTCACTACTTTAGTTGATAGGCATCTGAATACATGCGAAAAATGGTCAAAAACCATACTCTCCGACCCCCAACACCCCCTCTATTCCCAACTCTCTCCTTGTATCTCATCAAGTAGAACCAGAAATCAGTATAAAATAATCTATGCTCGTACAACCAAGTACAGGAACTCAACGATACCATACTTGGCCCGTGTTCTAAGTGATAGAGACAATGTTAAGCGTGAAACTTATGACTTGCTTTGTTATTAACAACATAATTTTAGGCTCTTTTATTTCTCTCTTATTTTGTATTCTTTAGTGAACTTCTTATTCAAACATCCTTAGCTACCCAAAATATTAACATTGGCTTCCTTTTTTGTACTTAACTATATTCCTTCTATTGTGTATCCACTGGTTCCGACTCTATTAGCACTATGAGTATTACAAAATTGTCCTATCATTAACCATCATGTAACTATTAGTTTTGTGGTTGTTTTTTCTTATTTTCTATACTTTTCGGCAATATGAACTGACAATCATTGGTTGTGAACGCCATAGTCACCACCTTAAAAATTTTTGTATTATTCAGGATTACTCACACCACCACCACAAACACTGCATTAGACCATGGTAGACTTTGGTAAATTTTCGCATTTATAATTATTTTGTATTTATCCTGTTTTTTTGCTTTTGGTGTCTTCAGATTTATTTTTTTTGTTTGTTCATTACTTATTTTAAATGTCGGTAAAATTAGATGCCAATATTGTAGATATGTGCTGAAAATTCCACACTGTACCACTAGTACTGTTTCTGGAATAAAGCAAATTATTATTATTATCATTATATTGTAAGTCACCGAGATTTTTCCCCGGTAACAAGTCAATTCCTGAGTCGACGAAGTCTGCACAGTTAAGGTTAATTCCATTAGTACATGTATGATGATGAAATTGAATCGAAATGGGGTTAGTGAGTTGGCATCTCTGATGAACACCGCTGGTTGTCATCACTTCAGATGACAACTCGCCGTAAGCTCTCACCTGGCTGACTGCATCAGTTCGAGTATAGTGAGTGCCTCGATCAATGCAATGTATTTTCTCGACATTTCTCTTACAGCCAAACGTCGCCATAGTACCTCTTGGTTGACAGAATCAAACACCGCCTTTAGGTCAAGAAATATGACGATTGTTGGATACCGGTAAGAATGTCTATATTCCAGAATCCGTCGAAGGGTGAAGAGATGATCAACACAGCCCCTGCCTGGTTCTCTAGTGTTTGTTTCTCCCGAGCACCACTTAGTCTACGCATTATTATTTGAGCCTGGAACTTTAGATACCATATTAGTCAAGCTAACCTTTTCTAACCCCCTCTCTCCACAGTGTTGAGACAGCATAGCTGGTATGCTGGTCATCTGAGGGGAACACCTCACTGCTGTTACATGCCTGTTCTTCCGCATTACGACTTCGCTCACAGACCCCGAGCATAGTGTAAAAACAAAATTCCTACACTATGCCGATAACTGCTTTTAGTCTAACCTCTCTTGTAACAACCTTCCTAGCGTGGTAGGACCTTCAGGAACAATAGTTCCAGCCAGTGTAGCTTGTTGAGTCATTGCGATATGCAAGCGCAATCACCACGTCAAGGTAGCAGCTATCTATCAGTCGGGTGGGAGGGGCAGGGAAAGTCTGTCATAGCCTGTTGAGAATGCTTTTAGTGACACGTTGGGTCTGTGAATCAATCAGATGTACTTGTAAAATGTAAGTAGATTGTAAAGCTGAGTTTTACACTGACACTCTTTACCTTTCTCCGTCTCTCTTAGCGATGAATAAATTATCATTTTTTTTTTGTTTTGTTTCTTTTTTCCTCTAGCATAACAACAACAATGGCATCAGCTGCAAAAGCCGCAGCTGCAGCTGCCGTCGCGGCTACAGCTGCAGTAACTGGTTTCGCCAATTTCTTCCGTCTAACACAGTTGAAAAATAAAGTTGATCCTCAATTACAATCAGGATCATTATCATCATCATCCAGTGTGACGCCGGTATCATATTTGCCAACCTCTAACCCCTCACTTCGGTGTATTGATCAGTCAAGAAATCTTCGGCTGAGTAGTAGTACTACAAATCGAATGTCTTCATCTGTTATGGTTCATAACGATGATGACGATGATGGAACTGAACTCAGCGGTTGTTTGTCAACTAAAGAAGCTGTAACAATGACAAGTGCTGCAGCGGCTGCAGCAATGGTAGCTGCGGCGGCTACAGTCGCTGCTGAACAACACCAGTTGATTGGAAATAATTTTTTATCTGAGGTAGGCTAATTCTCGCCTTTTTCTATATATTTATAACCTTCATTATTATTTTTTTGTCGTCATAATCACTCTGGTAGCGTAGCATTTCATCGTTATTCTCTTGCTGAACCATCGTCTTTCTCAACGATTAATGTTAGCTGAAATTAGTCTGTAATAGGGTCAGGCGTAGTCAGTCCAAAATCTGGAATCAGTCTATGAAATCATCGGTTGTTGGTGTTTGGGCAAGCCACAGAGGGATATGTAGACGCTATTAGTCAACGGTTGGAGGAGACTGTTGGTTGTATGACTCAGAATCCTTCTTCTCACTGGAGCAGATGCATCCCAGATACATTTAGCGCTCATGTTTTCCAGGTTACTATTCTTTCTCACGCATATTTATGCTCATTACAGTTCTATGGAGTCTCTTTTCATGTTTACCTTTGAGTGCTGTATGAAATGTGACGAATTGAATTGCTGCAATTCTGTCCAGACAATAGATGTCAATAATAATGATAATAATAATAATGACGACACCAACAATAAGGAATCTAAACCATCAGTAGTAATTCCATACAAGGAAGGAACCTCGGAAACCTTACACAGAATTCTTAACAAGGCAGTAATAGAAGTGGCTGGTATTCAAACCCCCCACAAACTCAATTAGAAATAAGCTTTGTCGGTTAAAGGATCTATCCTGTGGAGCCTTTAAAACAAAACAATTTAGTTTATCTACTACCCTGCCGGAATGATTGTCAGGTCAAATACATAGGTCAAACTAGTAGAACAGTCAGACTAACTTGGGGATAAAAACCTAGCAAAATCTAGATTAGTTGACCCGAATAAGATAAGAAATCTAGAGAATAATTCAGCTATACCACTCACCACATGCAATTACACAAAATCTTACAATAGGCTGAATGGGATAAGATGACAGTTTATAAAATCTAATCTAATGTAACAGCAAGGCGGAGGGAGAGATTGATAACAGAAACCTTGTTTATCGAATCAACTGAGAGTGAATACGTGTGCGTCGGTGGCACAGTGGTTAGGACTCTCGCCGACCATGCACATGGTCCGGGGTTCGAGCCCCTACCGGCGCACACCCGATATCTACGGTCGGCCTGAAATTTGGGCTACCGATATCCATGCTGAAAATTCCATACTTGTACTGAAAATGCGGTGTGGAATCAAGCTGTAATCAAAAATTTAAATTTAAATTTAATAGGAATGATTCAACACCTGTCCACCCAGATATCTGGAAAATTCTACTACCCCAACCACGACAAACAGGAGAGAACAAAGAAAACTATGAGACTCAAGTTTCAAAGTCGTGTGTGATTATAATTGATGAAATGATTATGAACATTAATAAATTGTGTTCGAAACATTGTCATCCAGCAAATACTAATACTGTTTCACTGACTGTGTGATACATCTAATAAACAAACTAATTTGTAATTACTTACTACCACAGTGCCTAAGATTTACCCACATATATTAATACGACAGTTCAACTGTTTTTTCCTCATTAACGTAAAGTGAAAGACAGTTATTTTTCACAGCTTTCAGCCTATACACTTACCTCAGCATTCGGTCAATCATACAGCCAGTTGACAAAGACTACAAAGAATAGACTGAAATGGAGAGATATGCTACTGTTCCACTCAGGACTCGTGAGAATTATCATTATTATTGACATCTATTACCTGGACAGAATTGCAGCAATTCAATTCGTCACATTTCATACAGCACACAAAGGTAAACATGAAAAGAGACTCCATAAAACTGTAATCAGCATAAATGTGTGTGAGAAAGAATAGTAACCTGGAAAACATGAGCGCTAAATGTATCTGGGATGCATCTGCTCCAATGGGAAGAAGGATTTTGAGTTATACAACCAACAGTCTCCTCCAACCGTTGATTAATAGCGTCTACACATCCCTCTGTGGCTTCCCCAAACACCAACAGCCGATGATTTCATAGACTGATTCCAGATTTTGGACTGACTACGCCTGACTGACTCTGTTACAGACTAATTACAGACTAATGTCAGCTAACATTAATCGTTTGGAAAGACGATGGTTCAGCATGAGATTAACGATGAAATGCTACTCTACCAGAGTGATTATGATATGACAACAACAACAACAAAAAATAACAAGACACTATGAAGGTTATAAATATATAGAAAAAGGCGAGAATTAGCCTACCTCAGATAAAAAATTATTTCCAATCAACTGGTGTTGTTCAGCAGCGACTGTAGCCGCCGCAGCTACCATTGCCGCAGCCGCTGCAGCACTTGTCATTGTTACAGCCTCTTTAGTTGACAAACAACCACTGAGTTCAGTTCCATCATCGTCATCATCACGAACCATAACAGATGAAGACATTTGATCTGTAGTAGTAGTAGTAGTAGTACTCAGCCGAAGATTTCTAGACTGATCAATACACCGAAGTGAGGGGCTAGAGGTTGGTAAATATGATGCCGGCGTCACACTGGATGATGATGATGATAATGATCCTGATTGTAATTGAGGACCAACTTTATTTTTCAACTGTGTTAAACGGAAGAAATTAGCGGAACCAGTTACTGCAACTGTAGCCGCGACGGCAGGTGCAGCTGACGCCATTGTTGTTGTAACGCTAGAGGAAAAAAGAAACGAACAAAAATAAATAATAATTTATTCATCGCTAAGAGACAGAAAAAGGTAAAGAGTGTCAGTGTAAAACTCAGCTTTACAATCTACTTACATTTTACAAGTACATCTGATTGATTCACAGACCCAACGTGTCACTAAAAGCATTCTCAACAGGCTATGACAGACTTTACACACACCCCCTCTCGACTGATAGATAGCTGCTACCTTGATGTGGTGATTGTGCTTGCATATCGCAATGACCCAACAAGCTACACTGGCTGGAACTATTGTTCCTGTAGGTCCTACCACGCTAGGAAGGTTGTTAGGATAGAGATTAGACTAAAAGCAGTTATCGGCATAGTGTAGGAATTTTGTTTTTACACAATGCTGGGGATCTGTGAGCGAAGTCGTAATGCTGAAGAACAGGCATGTGACAGCAGTGAGCTGTTCCCCTCAGATGACCAGCATACCAGCTATGCTGTCTCAACACTGTGGAGAGAGGGGGTTAGAAAACGTTAGCTTGAATAATATGGTATCTAAAGTTCCAGGCTCAAATAATAATGCGTAGACTAAGTGGTGCTCGGGAGAAACAAACACGAGAGAACCAGGCAGGGGGTGTGTTGATCATCTCTTCACCCTTCGACAGATTCTGGAACATAGGCATCCTTACCGGCGTCCAACAATCGTCATATTTCTTGACCTAAAGGCGGTGTTTGATTCTGTCAACCAAGAGGTACCATGGCG